AGACACACTCACACTGTGTTAAGACTTTGATCTATAAACACAGCATATGCAGCTGAAACCAGTTTGGCTCAGTGGCTAGAGCGTCAGCCTGCAGACTGAAGGGTCTTAGGTTCGATTCTGGGCAAGGGCATGTATCTTGGTTGCAGGCAGATCCCCAGTAGCGGGTGTGCAGGAGGCAGCTGATCAATGTTTCTCTCTCATCGATGTTTCTAGCTCTCTATCCCTCTCCCTTCCTCTCTGTAAAAAACTAATAAAATATTTAAAACAACAACAACAACAACAACAAAAACCCCAGCATATGCAGAGCCGTTTGAGCTCCAAAGGCTGATATGAACATGGCTAAAAGTATTTATCTGTCACACCCAGGATATGAAAGTGACTTGAATATTAAATCACCTGGAAATGTGGACGGTGTTCTTTCGGAAAATGTTTATGGTTATAAACAAAAATGTATCCCTAATACACTGCTAGGATGTAGAACCTGGCATAAAATAGCTTTATGGAATTTCTTGTCATGCCTTTTTAAACGCCAGCAGATTTCCAACTTTCTCATAATAATGTCAGTCTAAATACCTGAGAGTCTAAAGGCAACTTTCCCTTGTGTGTCTGCATGGTGGGGCTGTGTCTCGGGGAAAACTTCATGTGGGTTCAAGATGGTTTCTTCCCATAACAAATGCTACACCTGAGTGAGGTTGAATTATAAATGGAAACATATGTTTTCCATAAAATGGGAGTAGTAGCCAAAACAGTATTAATTTTATTTATTTATTTAGTCTCAAAAAAATTGTTTGAAAGGGAGAAACGCACTCAATTCTCTGTTCCTGTAACCTGAAGCCCAAGTGCTGAGGCGGGTGCTGGGTGAGCAGCCATTCTCACAAATAATAATTCCGCAGAATGGGGCCCAGGGGCAGGCCACGTGGGATCACAGCCCTTAACCATCTCTATGGGCCACACGGTCCTTCTGTGGTAAAGGGGGACGCTGCCTAGACTGCATAGACGTGGCCTGGTTTCCTAGAAGCATGCAGACTCTGGGATGAGTGGGGCATCCTTGTCTGAAACAGCCCATCCTGTGAACTTGATAACAGAGAGATGCCTCCCAGCTCCCGGAGGGAACATTCTCGCCTTCCTCTCCCTGTGGAGGTCCCCGTGGAGCCTGGGGGAGGAGGAGGGAGTTGTCACAGAGCAATCTTAGGAATGTTAGGCGCTGAGCTGAGGCTCACCCACTGAGGTGGAGAACTCACTGAGGTCTCCCTGGACTGCAAAGGATCAGATAAGGAAGAAGTCATTCCTCACTGGCTGGGAAATGTGAAACCTCAGGAATTCTCGATGATGAATTCTATTCCCGTCCAGTCTGAGGAACTCTTCTCTCTTCTCAGCAAGAGACACATGGAATAAATCACGGACGGTGTGAACAATATCTGAGATAAATGCAACTGTCAGATAGTTGCCTAGGAGTCCTGCAAGGGCACGTGGTGCTGAGAGCAGCTGAGTCTGTGGTTTAATTCAGGGCAACATAGTCAGGGCTCAATGTTATATTATTAGTAATAGGGGTGTGTGTGTGTGTGTGTGTGTGTGTGTGTGTGTGTGTGTGTTTCTTGAGCAATGAAGGCATTTCACCAGCATTTCTGTTCAGTACAAACACTAAGCCCAAGTCAAAAATGTTTACAAAGACATTAGCAAAACACTCTAATGGGGGTGCGATTTTTCTAGGCATTCCAAACACAGTTTCTAAAACCTGATTGAGAAAAATTACCTTGGATGTAGAGTGCATTATTGAACAGGGACCATTCAAGTTAATTAAGAAAGCTGGAGGAAGGGATAGGGGAGGATCCAAGATGGCTGCACAGGTAAACACCTAACCACAGCCGCACACAACAATTTCAATGGAATACAACTAAAATATAAAATGGACATTGCCCAGAGCTACAGGTAGTCGACTGACTGAAAACTCTACAGCAAGAAGGAAAGAGAAAACCAGAAGGAAAATCAGAGGAGCTGAAAAAGCCTAAGGTACGGAGACATGCTGTGCGTGCACGGAGAGGATGGAGCCGGAGAGGAGGGGAAGGCTGGGTGTCTGCTTGGCGTTCCCTAGCAGGAAGGAAATAAAAGCCCCAGAGTGGGCTGAACCCCAGAACCGACAGTGTTAAGCCCCAGTTCTAGGCCATACCCTGGGGACCCAGGCTCAAACAGAGGGAGACTGGGCTGTGAGGCGGAATCCCAGGGGAGCGGCGAAAGGCAGAACCCCCGGAGTCACGCACATTGCACGCAGAGGACAGTCTGTTGACTCTGATGCTAGATTGCCCTAGTGGGAAGGAGAAAAAAAGCTTCAGACTGGGAAGAATGCCATGAGGAGCAGGAGCCGCTGCCGGACACCGGCCAGCCGGGCGCCAGCGAGGAGCCAGGCAACAGGGCCCCCAGGAGGGAGGTGCCGCTGGGCCCTCAACCGCTGATCGCGGGCCACGGAGCCGAGGCCGGGAACTGCTTCCTGGGCAGCGCCGACCCCGGCAACAGGCTGAAGCCGCGCAGGAGGCCGCGGAGAACAAAGGGGCGCCGCAGGCCAGCCTGCTGGGCTTCCAGGACAAGGAGGAAGAAACTGAAGAAGTTTTCAATGTGAAGAAATCAAGTTATAGCAAAAGATAAAATTACTTAAGAAAGAACACAAAGAAGATCTTGAAAAATCGAAGACTAAGACAGAACTCAACTCAGCAGCCAACATTGCAACATAAATGCGTTAAAAAAAAAAAGGGCAGAATGTTGGAACGGCGGCGGCCAGGCCCAGAGTGGCCAGGCCCAAGGCAGTAGCAGCTGGGCCCGGAGCAGGGGCAGCCAGGCCTCAGAGCAGCAGCAGCCAGAACCAGAGCAGCAGCAGCCAGGCCCGGAGCAGCACCAGCCAGGCCGGGAGCAGCCAGGCCCGGTGCCGCCGGGCCCAGAGCAGCCAGGTTGGGAGCAGCCAGGCCCAGAGCAGCAGCAGCCAGGCCCGGAGCAGCCGGGCCCAGAGCAGCCAGGCCGGGAGCATCCAGGCTCGGAGCAGCCGGGCCCAGAGCATCCGGGTCGGGAGCAGCCAGGTCAGGAGCAGCCAGGCCTGGAGCAGCCGAGCCCAGAGCTGCTGGGCCCAGAGCAGCCGGGTCAGGAGCATCCAGGCCCGGAGCAGCAGCAGCCAGGCCTGCAGAGGCAGTGGCCAGACCCGGAGCAGCTGGTTGTGGAACGGACCAGAGCAACAGAGGCCAGGCCTGGAGCAGCCAGGCCCGGAACAGCTCGCTCCTCGCCTGCTCATGCCCCAGGGCTGCCTCTCAGACATGGCTGGAAACTTTTAGGGGAACTTGAGGGTCTGCTGAATCAAGTGATGAAGGCTTAGATCTGGATGTGTTGAGTTATTATAGCGCTGGGGTGTTGATCTGTGAGTGCCTTGTGTGGGGTCTGGATGAGGTCGGTTGATCTATTTGGAAATGTCTTTTGTGTGAAGTGTATCCTTGGGCATGTGGAGGTATTATTGATTTGAGAAAATGCTTAGTAACTGATTTACTACCTGAAAAGTTTAAAGTTCTGAAAGTTTAAGGTCTCTTGCCAAAAAGAGGTTTTAAAGGTAACACCTTAATTTTAATGGAGAAAGGGGAGGACAAGCCCTTCCCACCCAGAACAGGTAATCCAATTCCAACCAGCAGCTATCTTTAAACAATGTGTTCATTTACATTTGGGGCAAGTTTACATGTAAACAAGTTTGCTTCTCAATTCCCAGGGCAGAAAAAACAAGGTTTAAAATTATTAGATTCTAAAATTTATTCTTAGAAGTGTAAAAGTTTATTAATTAAAAAAAAAAAAAACAACAACAAAAAGGAGATTGAAACACCTGATGAACAATATTAGCTGTTGATTGTAGTAGAGTCGGAGATACTGGAGGGGAGTGGACTGACAGTTCTCGGGGAAAGGGGGAGTGGTGGAGGGGGGAAGAGACTGAACATCAACTGTGCACCTATGGATGAGGACAATGGGGGGTAGGGAGGGGGCGGAGGGTGGGGTGGGAACCTGGTGGAGAGGGCAAGAAATGAGGAATCTTTGTAATAATATGAACAATAAAGATTGATTTTAAAAAAAACAAAAACGGAAAGGAAGAAAGCTGGAGCCCTCAGTGGATTTTAAAATTATATTTTCTGTTGATTTCAGAGAGGAAGGGAGAGGGAGAGAGAAAGAGAAACATCAACAATGAGAGAGCATCATGAATTGGCTGCCCCCTGCACGCCCCCTTCTGGGGATGGAGCCACAACTCGGGCGTGTGCCCTGGCTGGGAATCGAACCATGACCTCCTGGTTCATAGGTCAACACTCAACCCCGGGAGCACACTTGCTGGGCCCCAGGGGATTTCCAGCAGCTTTTTTGTTGCCCGAGGGAACAATGGGATAGAAATGTGGTGTAAATGTTTGGAAAGGGGGTGATTTTCAAGGTTGTGTAAAAGGAAGCCATCTGAATGTTTCCATGTGAATTCAAAAGAGAGATACTTTTAAAAATATATATTTTATTGATTTTTTATGGAGAGGAAGAGAGAGAGAGGGATAGAGAGTTAGAAAGATCGATGAGAGATAATCATCGATCAGCTGCCTCTTGCACACCCCCAACCTTGGATGTGCCCGCAACCAAGGCACATGCCCTTGACCGGAATCGAACCTGGGACCCTTCAGTCCGCAGACCGACGCTCCATCCACTGAGCCAAACCGGTTTCGGCTAAAAGAGAGATACTTTTTAATTTTAGGTAAAACGTGGGCCCTCAGACCTCTTAGCTCTTCTGTAAATTGGCTTTTGGGAACTCACAGTAAGCCTTCCATTTGCTCCTAGTTGATCTAGAAGCAAATGGTGACAATCAAGAGGAAAACGGGTCAATTTTACGAGAACATGTTGCGACAGACGCCTTCATCCTTCAGATTTCCGCCTCGAACTGTTTGCTCTCTCTGTATGCTCAGTGGCTTCTCGTGCCAGGCGGCTAATGCCCAGTCCCCTTTGTCTTCCAGCTGCCTCGGGTGTGGACACTCTGGCGGTGTTTATGGCCAGCAGCGGCACCACGGATGCCACGCATCGGAACGGCCCGGTCACCCCACCCAACACCCTCCATCTCCGCTCCTCCCACAATGAGCAGCTGAACGCCGAGATCAAGCACACGGGAGCCAAGGACAACACCCCCCCCAAATGCAGGAAGAAGTATGCCCTGACGAACATCCAGGCCGCCATGGGCCTCTCCGACCCCGCCGCCCAGCCTCTGCTGGGCACCGGCTCGGCCAACATCAAGCTGGTGAAGAACGGGGAGAACCAGCTGCGGAAGGCCGCCGAGCAGGGGCAGCAGGACCCCAACAAGAACGCCAGCCCCGCCGCCGTCATCAACATCACTTCGGAGAAGTTAGAGGGCAAAGAGCCCCAGCCGCAGGGTTCCCCGGGCTGTGACCTCTTACCCTCCCAACCCAGGAGAACCAAGAGCTTCCTCAACTACTATGCAGACCTGGAGACCTCCACCAGGGAGCTGGAGCTGGAGCCGGCCCCGGGCAGCCAGCTCGGGGGCGGGGAGGTGGAGAAGGCCCCGCTGGGCCAGGGCCAGGCCTCCCCCGGCGTCATCGGGAACGGGGACACGCTGCCGCAGAAACCAAACAAGTCCCAGGTCAGCCCCGAAGATGGCCCGGTCGCCACCGTGTCGTCCAGCCCCGAGACCAAGAAGGACCATCCGAAGACGGGTGCCAAGACGGACTGCGCCCTGCACCGCATCCAGAACCTGGCGCCCAGCGACGAGGAGTCGAGCTGGACCACCCTGTCCCACGACAGCGCCTCGCCCAGCTCCCCGGACGAAGCAGGTACCCCTGGGAGAGGGGTGTGTGTGTGGGGGGGGGGGGCAGGGGAGGAAGGGCACTTGCTTTTTGGTATTTTCTGTTATTGATGGAATTCATCTCCAGACTGACTCAGAAAATCCATTTGTGGCGAGAAGAACATGATCCTTTGGGGTAACATCGGGCCATTTGTGTGGCAAATGGATCCTTGAACGGTTTTATTTTGATGCATGCACACGTCGTTCTTTCTGGGAAGTGGTTTCGTAGGAGAAATAGGTCCTTGGCGGTAGGCACGGTAAAACATCATCTGTTCAGACACTGTGCTGCCAGTGCTTAGGTGAACCATTTTTTTTTTCCTACTATCTAGATACAGTGGGTTTTGTTAAGCAAAATAATAAAAGGAATCCCGTTGCCGGGGACAAGATATAACCCTGTGAAGAGAACCAGCTATTTTCAAGTTCTCAGCAGAATGTATTTATGTTCAAGGTAATGAAAATTTGACAGTCCGGTTATTAAAAGACATCTCCCTTTTGACTTTCACTGGGGAACATTTTATTAGTCTTGTGTAAGGGATATTTGAAAATGAGAAAGGGACGTTCCTTTTAAAATATGCTCAGCAGTTTAGGATTTTAGCTAGTCTGATTGACTTTTGTCCTTATCAATAACGCCTTCAGACGTGTCCGAGAAGTCAAGACTGTGACAGAAATAAACAGGTCCCTAAACGGGGGCTACTTTTAACCTCGGTTTTTCACAGCCCTCCAATGACCATAACACTGACCGATGTGGAGAACGTTGTTGTATCTGAAGTCAGAGTAAACAAGCACTCGCAGAGGCGTGTTTCTGTAACGTAACCTTGCAGACACCCCGGAGGGCTCCTGTGTGCGTGTGATGGATAGAACCACCAGGGAAGCAAGTGACAGTTCCCCATCCTGTGCGGCAGAGAGACCACAAGGACCGCGGGCGAGGAAAAGGGAAGGGGAAAGTTAAGGCGTTAACTTGTTTTAAAAACGTTTTTGAAATGCCCTTTAAAAATCACAGTACTTTAAACGATTCCATCCGCCTGCTGCAGCTGGCAGTGGCAGCGGGGAGGTTGAGGTGAGTCTATTTCATCTTGGAAATGTCTAGACCTGCTATTATTGGGACCATAATTATGCCTGGTAATGTGACTGAGTTCACAAGTCTATCACTTTTCATGCATTGAGAGAATTCATACCCTGTAGCTGATGGCGCTGTCACCTGCTGGTGTTTGAATCCCTAGAGATAACTGGAGTATCTCACACACACCCTAAAGTGACCTCCTGTTTTCACTCTTCTCCTCCTGCCACTCCGGCTCACGCAGACGTGGCTGCTGTCTGTGGTGGTTCGATGTTAAATTTTGCTGGAAGTTAATTAACGGACAGTAAGGTCTCCTCTGCTCCTCACTCTGACTCTTTTCCCAATGACGACCACCACTTCTTTTCTTAAGGTGTTTTCTTGCAAAAGCATTTTATGCTTATACCCACATCTATAATAAATTTTAAAATATACCCAGTTTTTACTGTAAAAGGGTATGAAGAAACTTTCTCGGTAGATGGAAATGTGTAGTGGAAGTGTATGGTTGTATACATTTCTCAAAAGTCTTTCAGAAGTTTATGTCACAGTGATAAAATACGAGTGTAAATTCCTTTACAAAAAATAAAATATATCCAGATTTTATGATAATGATGTTGTTAATGAGTCCCTGCTTTTTAGAGATACACTATTATACTACTATATAGAATGGTGTAATATATAACCGTGGTCGGCAAACTGCGGCTCTACAGCCACATGCGGCTCTTTGGCCATTTGAGTGTGGCTCTTCCACAAAATACGATGGCCTGGGCGAGTCTATTTTGAAGAAGTGGCGTTAGAAGAAGTTTACGTTTAAAAAATTTGGCTCTCCAAAGAAATTGCAATTGTTGTACTGTTAATATTTGGCTCTGTTGACTAATGAGTTTGCCGACCACTGATATATAATATAACATAACATAATATAAAATAATATAAATAATAGTCAGTATGGACTTTTTTCCAAAATAATTGGAGTGGGGATAAAAAATAAAAAAAACACAAAAATTGCCCGTAAGCTGAAATTTAGATGGCTAGCATCTCTAGCCCCATCGCTCATGCAGAGTGCTGGTGTCGGGAGGCCTGCAGAGAGCTCAGCGTTTTGCTGAAATGTGCAGCCCTCTCCACCCATTGCGGCTCTCGGGTCCCTCTGCTCACTGCCCCCGCTCAGCGCCCTGGCAGTCCTTCCTGTGGCTTCTCTATGCGACTCATTACAGCGTGTGCATCGTGGGAGCTGGGTGAGGGTTTTCTGACATGGGGAGGGATATGTTCATTTTTCTCCCTGATAGTCGGTTTTGAAGACCTTAGAATTTTAACGTGTGGGTGACAGTATGGGGATGGCCCTGAATGGGCTGCTCAGGATTGACTGTTTGAATCGAATATGCTGGGAAGAGTGTGTTAGCTGTGACTCGAAAGCAGTGAGACTGAGTTTTTTAAAAACATACTGGAGACCAAACCTGTGCTGTCCTTCGAAATGGTCCCTCTGAGATCTCTGTGCCTATTTCAGCATGCTGCAGTGTCTCCAGATATTAATCTTATATAATAAAAGCATAATATGCTAATTAACCTGGATATCCTTCTGGACGACCTTCCGGACACGAAGCCAGGGCTGCAAAGGCTGAGGCAGAGGTGGTTGCTGTGATGGGTGGGGCCAAGCCCCTTGCATGAATTTTACCCATTGGGCCTCTAGTCCTATATAATAAAGAGCTAATATGCTAATTAGACCTGATGGCAGAGCGGCCTTCTGGAACAACCTTCTGTAATGACCAGTGGGTGTGGCCAGACTCACCTCAAACTCCCACTGCCATTTTTACAAGGCAAGGCAGCCAGGGCCTAGAGCACATGTGTCAAACACAAGGCCCGCGGGCCAAATCCATCCCGCCAGGCCTTGCAATGTGGCCCGCACCGCGCTGTCATCACTGCACTCCGCTGCGTTTCCATCACAATGACAGTTTATGACTGTTCAGTAAACCATTCGGCCCGCGATTTAGGCTGGATTTTAGATTTTGGCCCCTTCTCTGATTGAGTTCGACACCCCTAGCCTAGAGGTTTGAGGCACTTGGGGCCTCGAGGGCCTTCCCTTGCACAAATTTCATGCATCGGGCCTCTAGTAGCAATAATATCTGGGAATTCACGCTGAAACCAGTTTGGCTCAGTGGATAGAGCGATCGGTCTGCGGACTGAAAGGTCCCAGGATCGATTCCGGTCAAGGGCATGTACCTCAGTTGCGGGCACATCCCCGGTAGAGGGTGTACAAGAGGCAGCTGATCGATGATTCTCTCTCATCGATGTTTCTAACTCTCTATCCCTCTCTTTGTAAATAAATAAAAAATAAAAAAATCAATAAAATACATTTTAAAAAATGTAATATCTGGGAATTCTTTTGGAATTTCCTGAGAGCCAGTTGTGAAAGCCAACTGAATAGAAACCTCTACTTCATGATCACAGTTTGGAGTTTCAGGTTGTGACCACCATATAAGTTAGTGAGCGAAATAAAATTGCTTTTGATTTCATCTTTCCTGTGAAGCATAGTGTGTACAATGATCACAATTAGCTTACATTAAACATTGTATGTTTCACTTCTAATAGCAAACTTGATGTTTATTCCGTATATTTTATATAGTATGCCCGTGTTTCTATTTAATATACACAAACACTGACTATTGAAGAAGAAAAAAACAGGAGCAAACGTTTTGTAAAATACGAGTATGCCTGAGATAGTTCACACATAGAAAAAGGGTGTGTGCGTCTTCGCGGTGTATGAAGTGATTACTCATCGCTGGGGTGTGTATCCTGTGGCTAAATCAGGATGGCACAGTTACCTTTGCGTTGTACACTGTGTGCTTTGGGGAGCCTAGGAAAAGAGAACAGACTCATCCCTACCTCAGGGGCCTTCTTTCCAAGGTAAAGGCTGTTTGTAAAGTAAAGAGTACTGACTGATTCTAAGATTCTCCATTTCCTATTCCCCTTTCTGAATTGCCCCCTCCAGCATCTTAGTAAGTTTTTTTTTGTGTTTTTTTTTGCACAATCCTGTGTGTATAATATGTGCTCCTCTGCCTCCTTTCTGTCCTTTGAGTAAACAAGAGGCTCTTCTATAAAAGGAAAGCATCTGTGAAATGACTGAGTTTCAAAAAGTCCAGAAGCATGCCTTCTCCTACATTCTAAAGGAAAAGCATTGGTAGTTGAAAGGGAGGACTTTGAATCCGTTAGAATTTGGCCCGAGGTCCCGCCTTCTCAGTGGCTCGGGTAAACTCAGGTCCATTGGATTGTGTATGTGGTCTCTCTGCTAATTACCTGGTGTCATGTTTGCTTCATGAAAACTTGTGGAAGAGGCAACCTTTTGGTGCTACCTGGTACAGTTGCTTTGCATCGCAGATGGTCCCTGCTGCTCAGGAATTTGAGTCCTTTGATGTTACAAATTGATGGGCTTTCACTCTCCAGGCAAACAAAGGGGAACTCTTTTGCAAGCTGGGTAGTTGGGGAGGGTAGAAGCCAAGGCACAAACTTGATTATGTCAATCTCATCTGGCAGCACTTTTTATTTCTGGCCTTAGCGAGCTAAGAGTGTTAGAGCATTAGGTACGTTCATATTAGCACTTTTAGGAACTTCTAAATGTTCCTTTATGTCACATAGCTCTGGTAATTTCAACCCTAAATGATTTTTAAATTGCTTTTTAAAAGCTCCCAAGCCCTTTAAAACGGAAAAAGAAAATTCCAGGATATCGGAATTGCTGTTTTCAGCTGGTTTGCCCCCATTGAATTAATTTCAGTCTTTTAAACAGATTCCCTGGCCTTCCTGTCCCGTCTTCTCAGTTGACAGTTCCATGATGTGACAGGAGGAGTTCGAGGAGACAGATGTGAGACGTTTCCAAAATAGTCTGGACACATTGTGTCCTGGGGTGGGTCATGTGATTGCCAAATTAGATTTTAGTACCTTGGGAG